CACACACACACACACACACACACACACACACACACACACACACACACACGCGCGCGCGCGCGCGCGCGCGCGCGATGTGCAAAATCCGACCGACAATCTCCACGTGATGCACATTGGTTAATGCTAATGTCGGCGGTAAATGTCATTTTTCAAGAAAAAAAGGGTTAACTTCAACATTGTGTAAATCGGTAAAAAAAAATCGTAAAAAGATTAAAAAAAAAAGCATTTTGTAGGTAAAATGTTACAGTTTGTGGTATTTGTATTGAATTTTGTGAAAAAAATTTTTTTATCAAACTGCAGAGTGTTATATATATAAAAATGTGTAATTTTAAGGAATAAATCAACATTTTTAATTTTAGCACCAAACAAGAAAGACAAAAAAATTTTTTATAGTCACCGATACCACGTTAAAGCTGACATTTTGAGCTTTAAAATGCTTTTTTTTTTGTTCTACGATGATTTTTCATCGAGTTACGTCATTTTTTCTAAAAAATACAGGGTTTGCTTCAAAGTCGTGTAAATCGGTCAAAAAAAATCGTAAGAAAATTTTAAAAAAAGCATTTTGTAGGTAAAATTATGTAGTTTGTGAAACGTTAATTGAATTTTTTGAAAACAAATTTTTTAATTAAATTTTAAGTAGTCAAACATAAGTTAATTTTAAGGAACAAAACAATGTGTTCTTTTTTAAAACGTACAACAGAAAAAATAAAAAAATTTTAAAAATTCACCGAAAGTACATTAAAGTTGAAACTTCAAGCTTCAAAATGCTTTTTTAAATTTTTTTTTTACGATAATTTTTCGCCGACTTACAGCAGTTTGAAAATAGCCTAATTTTTAGGGTTTATGAAGTGTTCCCTATTTTTTTTGTACGAGTGTGTATATATATATATATATATATTAACCCTTCGTCAGACAACGTTATTTGAAATCTTCAAAACATTATTAAAAAGTACATATTCGCAAGTAATAATAATAATAATATTTCATGAATACATATAAATACCAGATATTAATTTTGAAGATTCGGTATTTGATAAGGTAAGGTAGGTCGATTCTAAATGAGTTCGTGTGCGTGCGTGTGTGTGATAATCGACAGGACTCGTGACCCGTTTTCCGGCGTCGCCGCGCCGCGGGGGCGACCGCGTTCGCGTTTTTGTCGCGCGGTCCACGTGCAACGGCCGCGTGACGTCACACGGTACGCTCGCGTTATTTCCCCCGTTCGAAACTCTCGCTCCTGGCCCCCGTTATCTCTCCCCCGTTCGCGTTCTATTTCCCTCGCGCGTTCTCGCTCACGGTCTCTCTCGCGCCCCCGTCCCCCGTTCGCGTTCTCGCTCACGATCGCGTATCTTTTCTTCGCCAACGATATTTAATTGTTTAGATTTTCGCGATATTTAATTTTAATATTACATTAAGTAAACGATAAACGAAGACAACTTAATTCTAATGACAGGGAATGGGGTGAACGGTAAATGAAAAGGAAAAATCGTTTAAACCTTTTACCATATTATATACATATTTATTTGTCATGCGGCATGAATTTTGTGTCAACAAGAAATCATACAAATAGGTTAGATTACTATGCACTTTATTCTTCTGATGGGGTTGAAAGGGCGTTTTTAGGGACGCCAACCCTTTACAAAATCATCTTACAATTACTCTTTCTGCCGCCTAAATATATATTGCTTATAGATAAGTTACAAAAATTGATATTAACTCTCGACTGCGCTCTAGAATCCTCGCAGATATTTTTTCTACGATTTTAAAAATGCAAGTTTGCATTTCAGCCAAGCGTCGCTGCTGCAGGGTAACCACCACCACAATCCGCATATACGTTAAATGTGATATATTTGTCAAGATTATTATATTCTTTTATCAAGATACACGTTTATTCAAAAAATTTTCTTTCATTACAAAAAGGCACATCATACCGCGCGCCGTCAGGGGCCCCCAGTGGAACCACCCACTACTCTACAACTACTACTACATCATAGCGCTGTATTCAGTCGACGTCGACGGTCTCATCCTCGTTAACACCACTTGTAGAAGCGTCCGTCGAATCATTTGTAGGATTAACTCCAGGAATTTTAATTTCTGCTATTTTAGCACAAATTATTTGTGCTTTTATTTCCATTTTATGAATTTCAATTAATGTTTTATTAAATACTTCTTTTTGTAGTTCACCGATGACATCTATACATTTGTGTCTGATAAACAAAAAAAAACATTAATCGCGTCCGTCTGTTTGCGAGTGAAAAAGAAAGATTGTTCTTACACATTTTGGAATAAGTCATCTTTGTCGTCCATGTTGTATTGTAATTTAATACATTTGGGCGTAATTTTACGCATGTGTTTGACCACAGCGTACACTTTCGCGGCGCTTTCCGCCACTGATGTTGCAGTAGTAGCTAGATTTTCAACGTCTTTACTTAACATGTCGCAGGTTTCCACTAACAGTTTTAAGTCCTCAATTGCAAAAAACGACTTTAACGGTAGCTCACAAATTGAGACTCCTTATATACTTATTAAAGAGATATCATTTTTACGGTAAAAGTGTGAAAACAGATTTTATCTTCGAACGTAAGTTCCTATTTTTCCTACATTATCACATAAAATTTTAATATCTAAAGATAAAGAATTTCACATATAAGTATATATATATATATATATATGTATATATATATATATATGTATATATATATATATATATATATATATATGTATATATATATAT